ATCAAATTTTCTAACAAATTGTTTCAATTCAATACAATAGTTATAAATGTAATCTAATGTAAATCTATCAAAATTATTGCTTATATACTGTAATTGTTGGGCAATTATATGGGATTTATAGGCTATTAATGCCGGTATTATTAGCTTATAATTGATGGCAAATATATAAATAATTGACATAAAAATTTCATATACATTAAAATAATAATGGATTAGTATTAAACCAATTATGTAACCAAATTGTAAACCGATTGCCAACATTAGCGTAATAATAGCCACTGAATAGCCGACACGTGTTTCGCGCGTGTCGTCAACGTATTGATGATCTCTGGCGACCATTAGGTCTATGATTTGTCGGCCATTCCATAGTATAGTTCCGACTGAACTAAATGTCTGTACTGTATATACCATACGAACACTTGTATACAATATCTGTAATAACTTATACTTATAGTCTCTATTGACTAATATTTTATTAATATTATTATTATTATTATAAACAATAAAATTTTCAAATATTTCTTTTAAATAGCTGAACAATATTATTGATAAAAATATTAAACTTAGAATTAGTCTAAAATATTTTGACAATTTATTGCAATTGTTATTATTATTATTATTATTAGTACTAATATGATAACCAAAATAAGGATTACCAGTGTATTGAAAAAATTTTATTAATATATTTAGTCCACGAGATATATACATAATTATAAATAAATTTATTGTAATTTCTTATTTAAAAATTATTAAAAATATTTATGTTTTGTTATACTATTAGTTTTGAACTAATATAACTAATATATAAAATTTATTTTTAATTTATTAAAAACATTTTTTACACAATTTATGTATAATAACTACTGTATAATAATAATAAATATATTTATTTTATGTAAACAAGTGTTAATGTAAATAATAAAACATTTTTAAAATAATTTATCTTTTTCTATTTATATATATATAAAAATATAATATAATGTAAATATCAAAACATTAGTTAATTTATTTTTATTTAACATTTTTGTTATAAATTATATTAATATTATTAAAAGATTATTATTTGTAAAATCTATAAAAAAAATATTTATTTAATTGATAGTCAAAAATTTTAGTATAATTAATATTTAATAAAATATAATTTTTAGTAAAATTAATAGATATTAAGTATATTTAATTTAATTTTTTAATTTTTTAAACAAAAATTTCAATTATGACAAAATAAATGTAATAAATAAATATTAAGATATTATGATAAAATAATTTATACTAATAGATAAAATAGATTGTATAATTGTTTTAAAAATTAAATATAATAACAAAAAATTTATTAAATTTTTTTTGCTAATATATAGTTACTAAATAGTTTATTATTTTGTTATATTTTTATATTTTAAATTTATTAGCAAATTTAATTATTTATTGATTGTTTAAAAAAAATATTATCAGTTTAACGTTTAAAATGTATTTAGTGTTTGTTATATAAATATTATTATTATTATTATTATAACTGTATAAACAATATCAATGTATTTATAAAATAATTATTTCAATTAATTTTATTTTTATTTATATATATTATATATAAATTTTATTTAATTATTTTGTTTATAAATAACATGTTTGTTTTGTTTTTTATTTAGTTATTTAATATTTTTACCTAGGTAACCAAATAGTATTATTACTACAGTAGAGTAATTAATGCAAATCAATTAGAAATAGATAATTACATTTAAAAAAAATTGTATTAATTATTTTGTAAACAATATATTTTTTAATATATAATATTAATATATAAGTAAAATATAGTTTATATTATTTTATATAACATATTATGATATATATGTTTATTGTTGAAAATTAATAGAAGTAATAAAACTAATATAAAATTTTTCTAAAAATAAAGTTTTCTAAATATAAAGTGTTTATTAAATATTATTTTTAAAAAAATGATTACTAATTTTAGTAGTTATTTGAAAAAATCTAATAATTTTTTCTGGATTAATATATCAATCGTATAAAATAACAAATATATATTTTTTATACGAAACAATAACCAAGGTTGATTTTCAATCAACTATATTGATTGACTTACCAGGTATTGCTATTTGTATGGATAAAAGTAATTTGATTAATCAATCGGTACGTAATCAATATTTTTTTAACAAAAACAAATAATAATAATAATAGTAGTAAATATTTTGACATTGAAAAATTTAACAACGATTTTACTATTAAACAACAATATTCAACATTTATATCATTGGATTCACTTATAGCGTGTAATTTATATGATAATAATACTAGTTGTTCAAAAATTGCACCGTATAAATATCAAATTGATCATGAACAATTTTGTATTATATTATTTTCACTATGGGATAAATCAAACATTAATGATGAAAATTATAAAATTAAAAACAATTTGTATGATTCATCATTGACATTTAAATTTTTAAATAAATCACTAATTAATAACAATAATTTAATTAACATTATATTTTTTGATAGACATGAACTACTATATAATGGCCATGAATATAATAATGTTAATTTAAATTTAAATAAAACTACAAGTAATTTGCTAATTAACTATAAACGTTTAACTAAGATTAATAAAACAGTTACTACTACTACTACTAATAATAATATTTTATCATTACAAAATTGTTATCATCAATGTTATATTGTTAACTTTTATTATAAATATAATAAATATCCATCTTATATTATTTGGCACAATTTAACATTATATAATAATATGGATTATTTTGACACAAATCATTATGATATATTTATTCAAAATATTTGTTTGGAAAAGTGTTCATCGATAATTGATTATAATGTCTATAAATATACATTAACAAACCGATTAGTTAGTTATGATAAAAATTTAGACAATATTTTTGAATTTAATATAATTTTTTCAAACTAAATGGAGTATATTTACGAAACAGTTTATCGATTATATTTTGATGAATATTTTGTAATGATTGCCAGTCTATTGAGTCTATACTATGGTTATACAATATATCAATTTTCAAATATCGGAAACATAATTTTAAATTGTTTAAATGAAAAATGTACTAATTATATTTATAATATACTAAATTATATAAATTATAACAGTATAACAATAAATGCACAAGTTATTATTAAAAATAAACATCATCATCATAAAACAACTATTTACAAAAAAGAAAATTCCTGGTAATAATTTTAATCATAAACTCTACAATTCGATTTAAAATAAACTTTTTATTAGTATTATTATATTCATAATCAATGAAAACATTATATGTAAACAATGTAAGTTATATATTTAGATAGTATATAATATATAAATAATTTTTTAATATTACAAATGTCAATTAATTTTTTTTTTAGGTTTTCTTTGATTAATTCTACGACAATCGTTTAGTACGCCACCCAATTGTCTCAAGTTTTGAAATCGTGGACAATTCCATAGTGTATTAGGACAACAATAATTTCTATACAAACCCTTTTGTTCGCAATATATTTCATTAGATTTACAATTATGTTCGTAATAATCATCATTATCATTGCCAGCAATATTACCAAAATGTACTATATATATATATACAAAAATAATAATTTAAAAATTAAAAATTAAATTTAAAAAAATTAACTTTGTGTAATATAGTAATTATAGTTTATATATATATATATATAATATAAATTTATAATTGAAAATTAATACTTACTTATTGTTATCACAATCAATACACTTAGAATAAACATAATATTAAACTTGTTGTTCATTTTTTATTTTATTAAATATAAAAAAATAAACAAAATTTTATTAATTATATTATTAATAAAAAAAGTAAACTACACCTAATTACTTAATACATATAACTTTATATACTGTATATATATCTACACACACATACAAAATACTGTATATATATATAGTATGTGAAAATTATGCAAGGTAATATTCATAAATAATTTCTAAATAAATCTAATTTATAATTACAACATTTATATTTATTATTTTGTTGAACTATTATTTATTATTTATAAAATACTGAATATAATTAATAAATACGTGTAAATATATATCATTTATACAACAATATACAAATAAACTATATACCTTAGCATGTTAAAAAAACTTATATGCATTCTATTTTTATAATATAATATTTATATGTATTTTTTTATAAAATATAAAATTTTAAACTAATTGTAAACTATAATTAAAAAACAAAGTTATTTTTTTAACTTAATTTTTAAATTATTATTTTGTATATATATATATATATATATATATGTAAAATCATTTAATATAATAAATAATAATAAAAAATATATTCAATGTCTTTAAACCTATTAATATTAATTAATTATTTATTGAATTAATAAACTAATTAATTATATTTTTTTTAAAATAAAATCAGTGAACTAATAAATTTTTTAGTCATTATTATACTAAAATATTATACTTTATAAATATACTGTATAAAAAAAAATTTGACTTTAATTTTATTAGTTTACGTTTATCATAAATTATTAATAAGTTTATTAACTCATTATTTTATTAATATAAAAAATTAATTGTTTAATTGACTTCAAATGAAATATCAATATATTATATTGTATGTTATAAAAATATATATAATAAATAATAATATTAAAAAACCAATATATATAAATTATTTTCAATCATTTATTTTATTTAAAAACAAATAATAATAATAATAATAAACAAATTTATATAGTTTTTTATGTTGTATTGAATATATATATATATTGAATATAATCTCAAATGAAATAAATATTTTAAATACAAAAAAATGTTGTTTTTTTAATTATAGTTTACAATTAGTTTTAAATTTTATATTTTATAAAAAAATATATATAAATATTATATTATAAAAATAGAATGCATATAAATTTTTTTAACATGCTAATAATGATAATACTATTAATATTGTACCCCATCCCCTCGGGGGGGAGGTGTAAGGGGTAGACAATCAGCACCGGGAGATCCGATCCGACCGTTTTCTACTACTATACTAGACCGGCATCTTTGGCTAACGAATAGAATATGGACCGTTCGTTTTCGAGTAGCTTTTGTGGTGAATCATATTCGGCTACCCGTCCATAGTCGAGCACCAGTACCCGATCCGAGTCCATAATTGTATTCAATCGATGAGCTATTGTCAATATAGTGCAACGGGTGAATGCCTGGCGTATAGTTGTCTGAATCAGGGCATCCGTTTCCAGATCGACGGCAGCGGTAGCCTCGTCGAGGATCAGTATGTTTGTGTTGCGTAACAGTGCCCGAGCCAAACACATTAGCTGTCGTTGACCAACACTGGTGGTGAACACAGGTAGGTGTTAAAATTGTTTGGTAAGTTTTTATTTAGGACATACACATACACATACACATACACATACACATACACATACACATACACATACACATACACATACACATACACATACACATACACATACACATACACATACACATACACATACACATACACATACACATACACATACACATACACATACACATACACATACACATACACATACACATACACATACACATACACATACACATACACATACACATACACATACACATACACATACACATACACATACACATACACATACACATACACATACACATACACATACACATACACATACACATACACATACACATACACATACACATACACATACACATACACATACACATACACATACACATACACATACACATACACATACACATACACATACACATACACATACACATACACATACACATACACATACACATACACATACACATACACATACACATACACATACACATACACATACACATACACATACACATACACATACACATACACATACACATACACATACACATACACATACACATACACATACACATACACATACACATACACATACACATACACATACACATACACATACACATACACATACACATACACATACACATACACATACACATACACATACACATACACATACACATACACATACACATACACATACACATACACATACACATACACATACACATACACATACACATACACATACACATACACATACACATACACATACACATACACATACACATACACATACACATACACATAGAGATCAGTCAGTCAGTCATACCTGAGATTATCGCCGCCTTCCGACACCTTATGATTGATACCCATATCAGTACTCTTAACAAACTCTCTGAGATGCGAGTGCTCTAATGCACGCCACACCTCCTCATCATTATATTTGCCAAACGGATCCAAATTTGATCTTATAGTTCCGGCAAACAGTACCGGATCTTGCGGTATGATTGTCAGCTTTGAACGCAACTCCTGTAATCATAATAAGCATAATCATAATTAAGACAACTTTATAGTTAAACATTTGTTTGTTTGTTTATGTTTGCATACCATAAGTCCTATTTTGCTGATATCTATGTCATCTATAACTATACGTCCAAATGCCGACTCAATTAGCCTAAACAATGCTAATGTTAGAGAGGATTTACCGGCACCGGTACGGCCAACAATACCGATCTAATATAAATAGTGGGTTTTAATATAGTATCGGTAAATAGGATTACAAAATCAATTCAACAACAAAACCTTTTCGCCTTTTTTGACACTAATGTCGACACCTTTGAGCACAAGATCCAAACCATGTCGATATCGGGTCCCGTAGTCGACAAACTCGACCCGACCTTCGTGTGGCCACTCTGTCGGCGGTGTATTCGGTGAATACCAGTCGGCCTCCGACTCAACATTTGCATACTCTTCGATACGTTCGACGGCTACGACATTGTTCTCCATTTCGGCAAACATGCGGACACCCCAATTGAGTGCCAGTGTTATATTCAGTGCGTACGATATGGACAGTCCTATTTGGCCACCATTAAGGCCTTCCCTGGAGACAACCGATAGGAGGGCAGCAAAAAATATGATACAATTAGACAGGAATTCCAAACGCATGGTTAGCCAACAGTTGGCCAGTGCTGACGGATAGGAACACTTCAAGTTGGAGTCGACCCGCCGATCGGATACCCGTACAAACCGATCGTTGGCACTGTAGGCTCGTATGGTCGATGCACCGTTCAATGTTTCCGAAAAGTGTGTATAGATTGGCGATCGGCTAACCGATTCTAGCCTACATAAGCGACAAACAAACAAATATATTTAGTTGGAAAAAATTATGGTAAGTTATATGGGGTGCGTGTTTGGGGGGGGGGGTTAAGTGTATAGGCACAGATATGTTTTCATATATAAATGCTGTATATATATATATATATTTATGGGGGTGGAGCGGGTGGGCGGGATTATAGCTAATATAACATTTGTTGCATTTATTATAATCACATCATCAAACTATACATACCGTTTTAATTGACGTGATGTTGCTACATAAAATTTCTATAATTTATAAAAATACAATAGTTAGATTAATTAAAAATATATAAAACAAAAATAAAATAATCATGTTAATTATTTATTTTATTTTTAATTAAAAAAAGTTACCTGTATAAAATAGTAGATAATCATTACGGGTATAAAAATGGCTATAAATAGCGGTGTCTGTACGGAAATGGTCACCAAAATGGCCAATGTTTGGAAAGCCGTACTCATTAGGACTCTATTGAACAAAATAATACATTTTATTTAAAAAAAGACTACAATAATAATTGGACAGTTAGTTAGTTAGTTAGATCCCTAACCTGATAGTCATCTGCATCATAGTGTCCAATATATCAATATCTTTGCTAAACCTATTGATAATACGTCCGATGGGTGTGGTATCAAAAAAATGCATGGGTGCATGCATGATTTTCATCAATAGACTATAGTGTAGGGTACGGGAGGCCAACAGTGTACCGGATACTATCGATACATAACCGTACCAAACAAATACGGCTTGACTTAGTCCGATGAGGGCATAGATACCCAAATAAAACCAAGTACCATGATTACTACTGTCACTTTGGCTACCGGTGCTGCTATCATTGGTTGCCGTCCAATAGGATAGCCAAAAACTAGAGCCACTGTTGCAGGCATTGGTAGCCGCGTAGCCGATCAATATGCTGAACGTCCAGAACAGGGACATAGATTTGGCAAACTTTTTATATATCTATTGGTATGATTAAAGAGGATGAGGACAGTTAGCTAACACACCCACATAAATAATTACTGTATATATACATTATATATTTAATTAGTGGACACATACCGTAAACTTGACGCTACCGGTTTCCGATGTTTCGGCTTCGACCAGTTTGGACATATCAGTACCGTCGGCAGCGGCAGTGCCGGCCGCACCGCTACCCGTCGACTCGACACTGACCTGAGCCATCAATGTGGACGCCCGATGCGATCGGGGACCCATTCGCAGGTCATCCGTCGAGGATGAATGTGAACTATTGGTGTCGTCGTCGGTATTATTATTATTATTATTGGTCGAGTACTGGCCAATTAGTTCGGCAAAATCGCCCTTCTGTGCCATCAGTTCATCGTAGGTACCGTAGTCGGTAATCTGGCCATTCTTGAGGACAACAATATAGTCGACATCGGGCAACACAAACAAACTATTGGTAACCAATAGACGTGTTTTATTATGCAATAGTCCCGTACGTGAACTGAGAACTTCGTCCAGAATATGTTTCCCAACGTGACTGTCCACTGCCGACAACGGGTCGTCCATTAGTAGCAAATCCGAGTCGGAATAGACAGCACGGGCCAGACTGACACGTTGTTTTTGGCCACCCGACAGATTGATACCTTTTTCGCCGATTTCGGTCATATCGCCGCCGGCCAGTGTTAGGAGATCCTGTTTCAGGGCACAGGCACGCAATACGCGTCGGTATTTTTTATGATCATAATCCCTGCCAAACAATATATTATCCCTTAGGGTAGCATTTTGTATCCATGCCTGCTGGGGTACATAAGCTAAACGGTTGCCCAAATCACCGTTTATGTTAACTGATCCTGAACATTTTTCCATTTCGCCTAACAGTGCATAGAGTAGACTACTTTTACCGGAACCAACATTGCCAACGATGGCCACAAATTTGCCTTTCATTACTTTCAAGTTGATCCGGTCGAGTGTCGGTTTTACCGACCCGGTTAGGACATCCTCGGCCCTGTCCCAAGTAAACGATCCGTTTTCTATGCGTACCATTTCGTTCGGGTTATGTCGGTCGTGGCCAACATAATTGGTTAGTTCGGCAAAGTTTAGAAATTTTCCCAAACGTTTTACCGAAACCATTGTCTATAATATTGATATATATTTTAAGTTTTAAATTAAAAAATATAATTTTTTAAAAATTAAATAAATTTTATCTTAGTTGAGAATATAATTTTGTTATATATATATATTGATATATAAATCTATAACTATAACTGACTATAACTATCTCTAACACATAGAAACTATTATAAACTTAAAATATAAATAAACATTAAGTTTACAGAATATTCTGTTATATATCTAATACACATATAAACTATTATAAACTTTTTTTTTGTTAAATAAATAACTAATTAAATTACAGAATATTCTAAAACAAAACAAACAAACATATACTTAAAATAATAAATTAATAATAACTAACTAACTAAAACAAATCATATATCAATAATAAAATTGCTAACTGTTTTGTGTGTATGTGTGTGGTGGGGTGGGGTGTATTGGTAGGGATTGGGTGGAGGGGAGGGGGTACTTACCAATATCAAACTGGTAACCATATTGGGAACCATTGTCAGAGGTATACGTAACAGATTGAACAATGCAATCGATACAAATGCTTTTTCCGCACTCAGTTGACCATCCAATATGATATAACAGGCAAATGTTACCAGTGCTACAAAAAACGGTGTACAACTCGATAGGACGACCATCACCGATGTTATAAAACCCGATTTACGTATATAATATAGTTCACGTTTACGTATACCCAGTATGGACTGTACGAATGCTTCCTCCCAACCGTATAACTGTTTGTTTTTTAAATAAAATATATATAATTTTTTTCAGAAAAATATTTAGTAAATTATAATTTTTTAAAGAAAATTAATATTTATACAGTATTTTTTTTTAGAAAAGTTAGTCTAGTTTCTATGTATCTATTTTTTAATGTATTTTTACATTAAAATAAAATTAATACTATTACTACTATCTACTTTAATAAATTGATTATAAAAAATAAATAGATTATTTTTAAGTATCTAAAAAGTACTAATAATAATTTCAATAACAAAAAAAAATAAAAATTAGACATTGATTAGAAAAAATATTATAAGTATTATTAGTATCAATGTAACTATAATCACACAAAAAAACATTAATTATAATTAATTATTTTTATAAAAACATATTTAACTATTAAATTTTTAACTATAACATTTAAACAGCTTAAAAAATTTATAATACACTGTAATTAAGAAAAAAACTCAATAAAAAGTAACTATTAATTACAACTAACTAATTATAACTAACTAATTATAACTAACTAATTATAACTAACTAATTATAACTAACTAACTAACTAACTATAACTAACTAATTATAACTAACTATTAATTATAACTACCTAACTAATTATTATTACATATCAACCAACCAACCAAAAATCTATTTATAATTATAAAACTAATAATAATAATAATTAAATAATTAATTAATTAATAATTAATAATTACTTTCAAAACTTTGATTCCGCCGAGTATTTCATTCATACCGCGTAGGCGTTCATCTTTTAGCCTCATTTGTTGTGTCTGTATAGTCTTGACCCTTGAGCTGACCCAATAGTTGACGGGTATGAATATAATCATCAATACCAGGCCGGCCATAGTGGCCACACCCATTTCGTTGTATAGCAAATACAAGGATATACCGATCTGGACGGGTGCTGTCCATAGGAAACTGAGAAACGGTAACATATCGACAAACCGTTGGGAGTCGACGGCCATCAGGTTGACTATCTCGCCGGTAGTGGTGTCACGTTTCGAGTGATTGGCCAGTACCAGGGATTTACGATAGACGGCCGATATTAGGCATGTCCTGATACGCATACCTGTCCCCATCCATCCACCCCAACAAACAATTAATATACAATTTAATTTATTTATATAAAAAACATGTATAGTTTATATAAGGTATATCAAACACCCCTTACCTAATACGGCCATACGTTGCTGTTGATAGCCATTGATTAGGCTCTGGAAGACATTGGTTATGACAAACAGTGCCGCATAAAAGTAGCCGTGCCATAGGGGCTCAGTTAGGTCAGTGGTAAAACCTATTAGCAATCTGTTTGATTGATTTGATAAATTAATTTTTATTGATTACATGTTAGTATTAATAAGTGAAAATAAATAATACATAACAACAATGATAATAAAATTTAAAAAAATTCTAGTAAATGTAAAAAATTAATTATTATATATATATAGAAAATTTAAATTTATWAAACTTATTATTATTAAACTATAAAACTGGGTGCTGGCTAAGTTTATATGTTTTAATTAAAYTTATTTATGATACTTTACTGATAAGTAAGTACAATATATTTTTATATACTGTATATATCTATCAATAAATACTAATTATATATTTTTTGAAAATAATATATAAACTGATAAAATATTTAGGCATAATAATTTACATAAACTTGTATATAATGATATATAAATACAATTAGTTAATTAATATATATTAATTAATTTAGATAATWAAAAAAAACAAAAACATAATTATAGACTAMATRTAATTTTTTTAATATAGAAAAACACAATAATAATAATATTGAAATWAAAATKATTAACTTTTAAATGGGGMGCTAAATTWTTTTTTGTATAATTAWACAAGCACATAATTAATATACAGTATAACTACTRTATTATAGCTAATYAAACAAAATTAATTAGGRTTRYACCTACAGTATAATAAATAGCAATTAGAAAAAAAACTACCTGTTCCCATTRARASTRYTACTATTGTTGTTTGTATATCATATCATATATATACAGTATATAGGGTATACATACTTCATGATCATTGGATTGGCCAGTTGTATAGTATCGGCTACCAGTTTCAGTACACTGGGTGTTAGAAAATAAAACCAAAAAGTCCGGGCTATAACCGACATTAGTTTCTTGTTTCCGGCGGCACCGGTAGTACCGGTAGTAGTGGCCAACTCTGGCATCGATTTTGTCGGCATTTTTTGATCCAAATTTTTGATCGACTGATACTTGATATCTCCTTTACCCGATAGCTCGCTGACTACCCGATGATCATCATCGTCATCATCATCATCGCCGCCGCGGCCATCGACAGTATCAGCACCGGTAGCCAGACTTTTATGATCGCCGCCAGTAGTAGTCGTCCAATACCTGTTGAACTGTCTGTAAACTGTACGACATTTATCTTCGCGTCGGACATCCCACAGATCATCGTTGGTCAGCGGACTTCGCCAACCTTTYACTACCAAACCGGTCATCCATTCAAATACMAGTTTCGACGGAAACGATACGGTTTCTTTGGGACAAATACGCGAACCTAACGGTGCTATACTAGCAGATACTGCCGGTGCTGTCACTGGTTTTTCATCACCGATACCGTTGACTTTGCCATTCAGTTTATCATAGGCTACGCCAACATCATCGGCGACAACAACAACACTACTACCCGATGATGGCGGGTATCGGTCGGCAAACGAACTCAATAGGAACAACATTATRGTTAGCGAGTATTCAACCAGATATAGGCCGTACTCGTAGGTCAGTCTCATCGGTCCGGACTCGTYGTCGGCGGCCAGCGAATAGCTGGCCGTCGATAGTGTCATAAACAGGGTTTCGGCTAACAAATAAAACCATATACTACCCGAACAGTGTATACCCGATACCCGATGAACATAGTAGACCAGAACCAGTATTACACGACTGACCGTATAGATAGCYGCGGCCATCGAGTGGGCAACTGTTGGCTGATCGTCGGCATAGTTGCTGAACTGTCGGATCATACAGGCTATGAAATCGCCAACAGTTACCAGTGCCAGGATCAGGGCAATGGCCAGTCTGCATGTATTGTAGATGTTCCACGGTATGGCCGCTTTACGGGAACGGTAGGCATCGATGATTATGTAGGGCAGGCATAGCCATAGAAAACCGGATGGTAGCCAAACAAATACAGTTTCTAATAGACATGAGGACAGTCGTGGTGAKGTTGTATTCCAGCTCTGGTCGCTGTCCTATATATATATATAAATAGATATTATTATTATTTATTATTGGATTACTTCAAAAAATTATTGTTTTTTTGTAATGTGATATAAAAAAATTTAATTTATGATTTTTTTTAATAAATATTTTTAATAAATAAATATAATCTATCTTTTCTTAAAAAAATGTAATTTACTGTAAATAATTTTTATTGTAATAATTAGTGTAATTTAGTAGACAGTATTAGTTATGTTATTTGATTTTTGTTTTAAAAATTAATTAATAATTTTAAACTATAAAAATAACAAATATGATTAAKTAGTTTAATTCAAATTTTATTTTTGTAATACTAAATATACATATATATAAATATTTTAATAACAAAAAATATATTTAAAAAAAAATATTTCTATACACTTTAATTATGCTTATTATTATTATTATTTTTAGTAGTAGTAGTAGTAGTAGTAGTATCCTCAAAAAAAATTTGCTTGTATCATCAAATAAATTATCTAATTAAATCATTAAACAAATATATATATATCATCACTACTTTTATTATTATTATTAATAATTTTTTTATTAACTGCACTAATTTGTTTTTTATTGCTATTATAAAAATTATATTAAGGTTAAGTTTGACAAAAAAAATGCACCTAACATTATAAATTTAAAAAAAAAAAAATTTATTTAACGTTTTTATTTTTAAATTTAACAAAATGCACTTAWAKTGTATCATTTAATAAAAAATTACAATAAAAAMTGTTATAAAAATTATTAAAAAAAAATATTTATTAGCATGCTTCTTTTTTTATTTATATCAATCATATAATAAAACAATAATAATAATAATTATTATTATTATTGTTGGTTAAATCATAAATTTATTTATTATATTATATATATATATATATATATATATATATATATATAGATTTAAGTACATTAAGTACTGTTTAGTATCTATATTTTTTCATAATAAATAATTTTTAATTACTAACTTATAATTAAACTTTAAAAAATATATGTATAAAGTTTTTTTTAAAAAAAAATAATGTAATAACAAAAATTAGAAAAATAAAAATTATTATAAAATCAATATTCAATATTTTTTGTATTCTAATAATAATAATAATTATAATTGAGCTAGTTTATTTTTATAAATAATAATAATAATATTTATATACAAACCCATAATGGTGAATCACAAATAGGATCCAATGTTGTTATAACAGTCATAATTAAAAATGTTTTAAGTTTTTAAAAAATTGTAAATAATTTATCAATTGATTATCCGAAAAAAAACACGTTTTTTATTTTTGTATTTTTTAAAAATACAAATATTATTATTTATTATTAAAAAAACAAAAATCACATTTGCACAATTTGTTTGAGTTTTGTTGCTAGCTAAATTATTTAATTTTTTTTKATAACTACTAGTATATTTTAGTATATATTATTATTTAAATAGTATTTTTTTTAAAAAATGATGATTATTTATTTATATACAAAATTTTAAATTATAAAAAAATAAAACTATTAATAATAAATTTTTACTCAGTTTTTATTTAATTATTAAGTTTACAAAAAAATAAAACACAATTTATAGTTTAAATAAATATATTGTTTTCACTTTTATTTCACTTTATTATTAATTAATGATAATAAATTAAAAATTATTATAATACATCTAGTTAATATAAGTTTTCAAAAAAATGATAATAATAATTATTATTTAAATATAKWAGTAATAATWTATAAAAATATTTTTGTGATAAACAATTTTTTTTACAAATATATAAATATACAATTAATTATTATATATATATATATATATATATATAATTAAAATTGTCTACAATAATAATAATTAAGATATAGATATTTATATTTATATATATATGTGGGCAAAACTTTTTATTTAATTATTATATTATTATTAATAATATTTTATTTTCATTATCACATTTTATTTTTTGTACTAAAAAACTAAAACAAAACACATACAAAATATACTGCACTCTAATAGTATATTGTATACCAATTTAATAAATAATTTTATTAAATAATAATAAAAATAATAACAATAATAAATATTATAATATACTACACATTATTCACACACACATATACACAATAAATAGACAGCAATAAAAAAAATGGCAATAATTATCATCATCGACATCAACGTTGACTGTATATACTGTATATATAAATAATAATAATAATTTATATGAGGATAAAACAAAATTCAGTGATTTTTATTTTATTTTATTACTTATTATATTATTATTTCAATTATTATTAATAGTGATAGTAATTATATACTATATATATATAAATATATATTATTTGAAACTTAAATATGATTGCACCCATAGTCACATAATAATACTTATAATACTAATAATACTGTATATTTTAACTCAATTTCCCACTCCTATTACTCTCTCTCTCTCTCACTCACTCACTCACTCACTCACTCACTCACTCACTCACTCACTCACTCACTCACTCACTCACTCACTCACTCACTCACTCACTCACTCACTCACTCACTCACTCATTCACTGGTTATTATAACTGGCGGTAATGTCTTTTGAAGGACACACACACACACAAACATACATACATTCACACATACACACAAACATACATACATTCACACATACACACAAACATACATACATTCACACATACATACATACATTCACACATACACACAAACATACATACATTCACACATACACACAAACATACATACATTCACACATACACACAAACATACATACATTCACACATACACACAAACATACATACATTCACACATACACACAAACATACATACATTCACACATACATACATACATTCACACATACACACAAACATACATACATTCACACATACACACAAACATACATACATTCACACATACACACAAACATACATACATTCACACATACACACAAACATACATACATTCACACATACACACAAACACATACATTCACACATACACACAAACATACATACATTCACACATACACACAAACATACATACATTCACACATACACACAAACATACATACATTCACACATACACACACATACATACACACACATACACACACACACACACACTGTATGAATATTATGCTTTTTATTAAAACAATTGTTGAATATTTTAAAAGTTTAATATACTGTATATATATATATAATATTTCAATTGAATTTATGTAATAAAAATATATATATATATATATAAAGTTGCATAAATTATAATTTAGTTACTTAATATAATTGATTGAATTACAGTATATATTAATAATTATTAACAATATATATATATGTAAAATATACTATATATATATATATATATATATAATATTCAATGTATATAATAAAATGTATTGTACTTTCATTTGGTTGTTATTAGTTTTAAGTACAAAAAATAAAAATAAAAATTAATGAGGATTTTATTTTGTAAATACACTAACTTTTATTTAGGATTTATAAAAAAAAATTATTTTAGTTATTATATTAACATATATATATATATATATATATATATATATATATATATATATATATATATATTATTTTGTTTAACACATCCGTAATTCATGCAATTCATGCCATACACTAAACATTATATATAAATATAACAATAGTTTATATATAATATTATATAAATATTGATTTTCATTGTGTCTGTCTGTCTGTATATATAAATTATATATATATAATATATTTTAATTTATTAAACACTAAAAAATATTAATAGATAAATAATACAGTATATAATTTATTGATTGATAAATAGATAGATAGAGTGATAAATAAATATATAAAGCTATATAAATAAAATTTTTAAAAAAATTATTAATAATTATTCCTATCCTTGAAATTTAATGATCACTTATTTCTCTCTCTCTCTCTCTCTCTCTCTCTCTCTCTCTCTCTCTCTCTCTCTCTCTCTCTCTCTCTCTCTCTCTCTCTCTCTCTCTCTCTCTCTCACTCACTCACTCACTCACTCATTAACATACAACTGTGCAAATAACACACACACACACACATTAAAAAATAATAGTTGGGTTCAAATAATATTGATTAGTTTAATGTCCCATATTTTTTTCAGTGCAATCACAATGACAATCAAAAATATAGATAAATTATATATAGATATATAATATAATATATAATTTTTAGTATACTATATTAAGAAAAAATTATATATATATTATATAAACTATTTATTTTTATTATTTTTTGTGGTTATATATATAAAGTATTTTTACCTGTAATTTAAAACAAAAAAATATATCTATTGATGATAAACTTATCATTGGGTGATATTGATGATGATGATGTTGATAATAATAATAATAATAATAATAATATTTATATGGTTAACATTTGTGTTTGTTTTAGTAGGTTAGTAGTTAGTATTTTTAAAGATATACCCTAAAAATATGCCGGTACTGGGAGTTTCCATGACAAAAATATAAGCTACATGTGCGCAATTACACAATATATATATATATATATATAATAAAATTAATTGAACAACTAGAAATAAACTACAGTCTAACCTTGATTACAGCTATAGATGGACTACAGTATAATACCGTTAATAATAATAATAATAGCATTTATAATATAAGCATTTAATATATGCGCTATACATGTATATACTGTATATAATATAATTGTTTTATACATATATGCACTCTCTCTCTCTCTCTCTCTCTCTCTCTCTCTCTCTCTCTCTCTCTCTCTCTCTCTCTCTCTCTCTCTCTCTCTCTCTCTCTCTCTCTCTCTCTCCATTAAAATATGAATATTAAATGTTTAGTACATTTTTAGTGCAAATTAAAATTAATATTTATATAATTTTTTTTTTTAAATACTGTATAATAATGTTAAAATATATTTACATTAGTGCACAAAATAAATAAAAGTATTATTTTTTAGGTGTATAAATTTTTTTTCAATAATTTTTTTAAAAAAAAATAATGATAATAAATTATTTGATTTTATAATTAACTAGTTTATTTTATTAGTATAAAAATTTTTTTTAAATAATTTATTTTCGACATAATTTATAATTTTAGTTTTATAAATAAATAATTTATATATTTATAAATTTATTTGTATATTATTATTTTTATTATTAGTTATAATGTTTTGTAAATGAAAGTAATTGGATATTTATGATTAATTTTTAAATGTTTTTTAAATTTATTTATGTATAAAAAAAATGATAACAATATTTATATTATAATAAATATATTTAGAGATAAAAATAGTTTATAAATTAGTGTTAAATTACAATTTAGTAAACAATTGATTTTTTTCTAATTGCATACAAACTGTAAGCCATAAAACATATATCACTGGGACATTGATTTCAATTGATTATAATTATAATTAAGATAATAATAATAAATAATAGTTAAAATGTTTTGAAAATAAAACTTATTATAGAAAGTTAAATAAGAAACACAAAAATTAATAATTACTTTAAATTACTTTAAAAGACTTTAAATATATTTGTAATATTTATTACAAATTAACAATAAATAGACATTTAATTATCTAAATTATAAAAAATTATATTCACTTATTTTATATAACAACATTTATTAGTATAATTAAAAAATATTTTTATTAGTAAATTTATTACTGTTTTATGAAATATTTTTTTTACATACAGTATATTTCATTTTATATAAATAAATAAAATAAAAAATAGTATATAATTTAATTAGATTTATGGGTAAATAATATATAAAACACAATTAATTGAAAATTAATTTTTACAATATAATAAATAAATATGTAATCTCTTTTTATTAATTTTAAACAATTTAGTGTCATTTAATTTATTTGATATATTTATAAATATAAAATTTTTTAATAATTTTTTCTTTAATAATTATTTTGTCAATTATTCTACAGTAGTTTTGTATTACATATCTAATTGATTTACAACAAAAACAACAACATTAAAAAACAGATATTTATTAATAATTATTATTTTTTTATGATTTTATAAAATTTAATGATATTTTAGTGTTGATGAATAAACTATTGTGTCAATTATCTAAACAATTTAATTATCAATTATTATTAATTGATTTTAATAAAAAAAAACTATTTTACATTATTTAGATATTAATTTTAATATAAATAATTAGTTATTTCCCAATTTTTTTTTAAAAAAATATTTAAATATATATCAA